CAAGAGGCGTGATACTCAAGCCTCTTGTGCAAAGCTTTATCGTTAGATGGGATAACCTCTTCATCTTTCCAATAAACATGTTTTTTTCTCTCTCTCTTTTATCGTTAGATAACGCGATGGTGTTTCCCGAGCTTTGAGCGTGCTCGCGGATTCACAGTTCAGGATGGCAATGAGCAGGTGAAGGAGGCCAGCCATTCGAAAGATATTCCCGGCAACTCCAATACACGCCTCTCACGTCACCTCACTTAAGTGGGGTGGTTATCATTTGAGCCCGTTCTCGTGTCGACCTTCTGACTTGGCCCTTTTTAAAACAACATTTCTCAAAAAGATCTTCTCTCTCGGACCTGTCGCATTTCGTCCTTTCCCGTTTCGTCTTTCGCATTCCAACCCTCCTCATTCGGGCCCGTTCTCGCTTCGCCCTTCTCGCTCTGCGTTTTCGTCTTTTATAGTGGTCGTTTTGAACGTACGGAACTTTTCGGTGACTCCCTAAGCAATACAAAATATTCCCAGCATGTTCATTTTTTCTCTGCATTGTCATACCTCTGAGAGTATTTTGAATGGCTCAGGGGATGAATCTCTTATTAAAAAGTAAACGCTCGGTCATGCCGTAATTATTTTAAATCCAATAAATCAAGCCGCTCCAATGCGGTTCGAATCCATGAGTTTGTTTTCCCACACGGCACGTCGTAGCCTGTATTTCTATTGGCTTTTCTATTTGTGCTGTTCGGGCAAAGCTGCAATTGCCGTCTTGAATTAATCTCTGTAGAGAGGATATTCACTCAGCTGGAAGTGATGCTTCACGGGCTGAGAAATCGCTTTTCGATCCACTTGAATGCAGTCAAAGCCGCGACTTGCGGCAGGTGTTAAGTGTACGGAGCTACGCCGTGTCGAGCCCGAAAACTTCTAGCGCTCCTCCCAGCGCGCCACTTGGAGGGCAGTTTCTCTAGGAACCGTAGTATAGTTAAACAGCAAAATAAAGGGCAGATTTTTTTTCGATTTGCCTACTATTGTTTTTTAATGCCGAAATTCCATACTGTAAATATACGTACTTTCCGTCACGATTTCGTACTGTTCAGTCATTGCCCCAGAGCGCAACCGCTCTCGGGGATGAGACAATACCGACAGTTACATTGCCCACTGTACGATAGGAGCTTCTACTGTTCAGACCAGCGTTCCAACATGACTATCTGCACGTTGATCGATTGCACGTAATCCCTCAAGTGGTATTAAACCTTTTGATGTAAAGTGGAATGTCAACCTGCAACACCCTGCCCCCTTCGATCACGGCCCGACCAGCGGCATCCACGCCCAACAGTTTACGATCTCATCTTCTTGTTACACCCCTGATACGCGAACACACGGTCACATCGGCGATAATTCTAGTCTTCTGTTCACCACCCACAACACTGCCATCACGGTGTTGCAGCTATGTCGCTGACACGCACAAACACAGAACCACGTCGAACGTCGGTTGCACTCGGCATCGGAAAACAGAACCGAACTCAGCACGGAAGGCACCCAGGCAGCCGGCAGCAAAACTTGCCTGTCTTGGACGCAGTTCCTGCGGTTTCCATAACGTCGACAACGTCGACACAGTTTCGCGTGGTTTCGCTACTGTAGTGACTGTAGTTCCCTGCCGCGCGGGTGCCGCAATCCGGAGTCGGCCATCCCCAGTGTACGTGGCGCTGCTGGCACTGCTCCGGAACTTCGCTGTTTCTAGCGGCTTTGTTTGCTCGTTTGATAAAATTAGTGTAAAAACGTCAAGGCAACCAAAATGTTCTGCACGTTTAGACTAGAAGACGGAATTACAGGCGGCCTTCGCTGCCGCTGAAGCTCCTTCAACTCAACAGCTATTTATTAAACAATGTGCGCGACCTGCTCGAAAAACGAAACCGAAAGAAGATGAGTCGGGAGGGCGAAAGCTTTCTCCCGCATGCCTGGAGAAGGAGGACAACGTTTCGTTCCTCCCCTTTTCTCGTCTACGCTTGGGGGCGCGTCAGTAGAAGGGAGGAAGACGCGCCGTTGCTATTTTTTCCTCCATTTTTTTTAGAGTGTACTACTCCCATCCGCCAATGAAAAGTTCTTCCTTTTAAATTTCTGTAATAAGTGACATACTTATTTACGTTTCGCGTGGGTAACGAGAAAAACTATTTCAATGTTGTTTTTCTCTAGTAACGCTTTAACGAGACACATGCATTGCGTCGACGTTATTGTACACTCTAAGAAAAAAAGGAGGAGAAAGGTAGCAACAGCGACTGTTCCTCCTTGTTGCGGACAAGTTGCCCAGAGAAGGGAGCAAGGGAAGTTCAGATGAAACGAGAAGGTCGAGTTGCTCCTTGTTCACTTGGCGCAGGGGTAAAACATCGCGCTACTGACGAAGTGGTCGAAGGTTCGATCCCCAGATGAGCGGTTTTTTTTTTCGTATTTTTTTCGTAAAGATTTTTTTTTATTATTTACCGAAACACATATAAACAAACCCAGACCGATGAAAGGAAAATTAAAGTCCTTATTATTCACCGAGACGTTTTCCTCCTCCTCCAGGAAGACGGGAGAAAGCTTTCGCCCTCCCGACTCATCTTCTTTCGGTTTCGTTTTTCGAGCACATCGCGCACGTTGTTTAATAAATTAAATTAATGTTGAGTTGATCGAGCTTCACCGGCAGCGAAGGCCGCCTGTGATTCCGTTTTCTAGTCCAAACGTGCAGAACATTTTTGTTGCCCTGACGTTTTTACCACTAATTTTATCAAACGAGCTAAAGAAGCCGCTAGAAACAGCGAAGTTCCGGAGCAGTGCACCAGCAGCGCTACATACACTGGGTAAGACGGCCGCCTCCGATTTGCGGGACACACGCGGAACTACAGCAGCGAAACCACGAGGAACTGTGTCGACGTTTTCGACGTTATGGAAATCGCAGGAACTGCGTCCAAGGCAGGCAGGTTTTCCTGCCGGCTGTCTGGGTGAATTCCGTGCTGAGTTCGGTTCTGTTGTCCCGTGCCAAGTGCCAACCGGCGTTCAACGTGATTCTGTATTTCTGCGTGTCAGCAACATCGTCAACGTGGTTCTGTATTTCTGCGTGCCAGCGACATCTTGATGGCAGTGTTGTGGGTTGTGAGCAGAAGACTGGAATTATCGCCGATGTGACCGTGTGTTCGCGTATCAGTGGTGTAACAACAAGGTGAGATGACGTAAACTGTTGGGCATTGATGCCGCTGGTCGGGCCGTGATCGGAGGGGGCGGGGTCTCGCAGGATGACATTCCGCTTTACGTTAAAGAGTTTAAAACCTCTTGAGGGATTAGGTGCAGTCGATCGATGTGTGGCTGTTGGACCGCTGGTCTGAACGGTAAGCTCCTATCGTACAGTGGCCCATGTGACTGTCGGTCCCCGAGAGCGATTGCGCTCTGGGGAAAAGACTGAACAGTACGAAATTATGACGGAAAGTACGTATATTAACAATGGAAGTTTAGCATTAAAAAAAACAGGTAAAATCGAAAAAATACGCTATCCTTTATTTTACTGTTTAAATATATTACGGTTCCCGTAGAAACTGCCCTCCAAATGGCGCGCTGGGAAGAGCGCTAGAAGTTTTCGAGCTCGCAACGGCGCAGCTCCGTACACTTAACAGCTGCCGCAAGTCGCGGCTTTGACTGCATTCAAGTTGATCGAAAAGCGATTTCTCACCCCGTGAAGCATCACTTCCAGCTGAGTGAATAACCGCTCTACAAAGATTAATTCAAGACGGCAATTGCAGCCGTGCGCGAACAGCACAAATAGAAAAACAAACACAACAATATAAATACTGGCTACGAAGGGCCGTGCGGGAAAACAAACTCATGGCTTGGAACCACATTGGAGCGGCTCAATTTATTGGCTTTCAAATAATTACGGCATGATCGAGCGTTTTCTTTTTGATAAGAGATTCATCCGCTGAGCCATTAAAAATAGTCTCGGATGTATGACATTGCTGGAAAAAAATGCACATGTTCGGAATATTTTTTATTGCTTAGGGAGTCATCGAAAAATTTTGTACGTTCAAAACGATCAGTATAAAAGACAGAAACGCAGGGCTCGGGAGTAGTAATCGGGGTAGTGTGCTGTTGTATTGATGTTTTGTATGTGCGATGCCTGTGTATGCGCTCAATATATGTTCACCTGATGATTGTAGTGTGCGTAACATGTCTACATGTGTCAGAGATTCCCGAAGAAAAGGACACGCAATTGTGGCGTAAAAAAATTAAAATATCTTTTTTTTTTTTGTAAAACATGAATTGGGCGGTACCTAGCGCCACCTAGCCTAGCTACTTGCAATTACTCTGCGTGACCCTGCCATCTGGTGGCAAGCGATTTAACATCCTTTTACGTTACGCGGCTACGCCATAATTTCGTGTTACCGTGCTGAGGTAAGCCAAGAGTTAGCTTCGCATTTGATTTTTTTTGAGACCGGCTTTTGGTTTTGCGGGCGAATGATTTTCACTCCTCCGTGATGTGCGGTTGACGCAACGGTTGACGAAGGAATTGTGGCTCGAGGAATAGCAAAGGTAAGACATAAAGTGCGCGAACTGGGTGCCGGTTGTCTCCGTTGAACATCGCAGTGCTGACGATGAGAAGACTGAGTGACTGCATGCTTTCGAAACCTAAGTTTCTTTACCTGCAGGGGTAAAAAAACTTCGGAAATAAATACAGTTTGCGGAAAGCTCGTGTTACGTTTTTATTTGCTGCTCCTCTCGCTTCGTACAATAGACTTAGTGTTCTCGTTAAGCCTTATCGAGCTCGATTTGCTCGATTCGTGGCCACCATAATGAGATGCAGTCGACGGAGAAACTTTTGCTCCCCTGCTTAAGGGACGAAATTTTCCCCCTTTCTGAAGGAACATATGTGTCAAGAGCGTTCCTCCCTTTAGGGAGGATTAAACTGACCCCTTTTTTCTCAGAGTGTACGGTAAAACAAAAAATGTCTTGCGCTACAAAATGTAACTAATGTTGTGTTTTCCCCCTTTTTTCAGATATGTGTTTACGGATGGTGCATAAATAGAATTGGGGACTACCTATCTCCGCCTGGGCTTGCGATTCCAGCGATTGCAGGAGGAACACCCTTCGACTGGGATAAATTAAAGTTGGAAATAGAGTCTGAAAACGAAGATGAAACATAGTCGTCCTAAAAACTTCAGCCTCAATTGTTGCCAAATACATGCGTTGTGTATTGAATACCGTATCTTGTATTTCTTAACCGCGTTTGAGATAAACAATCAGATTTACTTTGAGATGTCTAGACATTTGGTGATACTTTTATAAATTTGAGTTTCGCTGCACTTATCGAAGACTCTTTGTATTTACATTCCTGTCTAGCAAGACGATGAATATATTACAGAAAGAGCTATCGGTGACGACAAGCACATGTTGAAGCCATAATGCGGATTTTACTAGTGCCTTGAATTTCTTATAAAACATTTCTTTATGCACCGTCGAAATTTTGATTCGTATTCGTGAACCTACATGTATGCTTCCGTACGATGCTCGTGTTTTGACAAGTGGAACGTTTTTTTTTTGTTTTTTTCGTGACGTACTTCTGTGTAAATTGTGTTTAAATATTATCATTTGGCTAATTTGAAGGGATTTTTGTTTCCTGATTTTTGTGCATTTGTGATAGACCTTGTACTTCCACTTCTGCAGTAAACCGATCTGCAGTAACACCGATCAGTCTGCCCTACGCACCGTTTACAACACGTAAGGAGTAATTTATATACAAAACATTCTGTGCATGGCAGTGCACTTTAGAGCAAAGTACGGCCATATTCTTGGGGGCTAAGAACACCATCGAAACCTCATAGCGATTTAGCTTTTGTTTTAAGATGGTGGGACATTTCGTGGACGTATGGAAACACCACAGCGCGACCTCCCCCTCTCGCCCCGCTCTCTGTGACTGAATTTATTCTCCCTTTAACCTTGTTTAGCAACAGATTTCAACCGGGATAATGGGGTCCTTATTAAGCAAGTCTAAAGGGGGAGAAAAAACAGCACCAATGAGCGGAGGGGTTGCCCTTTGGTGGTATCATACGCCCACAGAATATCCCACAATATGAAAAAAAGTGGCGAATCTCTATGAGGTCCGATGGTGTTTTCAGCCCCCAGAAGATGGCTAGACTTTGCTTTCAAGTGTGCTTATAGAATAGGAAAGCGAACAAAATCCAGGTGCACGAAGCCACATCAGTGACTATTCCTTTCATGCACAGGTGTTGTGTATGAATTGCCCTTTACGTGTGCTAAAGGTTATGTAGGACAGTATGATCAATATGTCAACAACTGCCACCGAGTAGGCTACTATTCCTTTCACGACGCCGTTGGAGGAGACCTTGCACTGCACTGTTAGGCCTGCCGATGAGCACCAAAGTTTGAACAAACGATAATTGTAGGAAAATTTCCAGATCGGTCTACCTCAGAAATACTGGAAGCATGCCATATTGCAAAATTAAAAGAGTTGTTTCAGCAAGCCATCGATAACGCTGTATGAGAAGGAAGTGCTCTTTGTAGGCAGTCTTTTTAACGACTAACCGTTACCTGAGCCTGTGATCTGTCCTACATGTGGGCCCTTGTAGATGTTTAATTTTTTTTTTTTTAAATTTCTTACCATTTTTGTAATTATTCATGCTGTGAATGTTTTGTGCTTCGTCCTTTTCTTCATTTTTTTATCTATGAACATCGCTTCCGTCTTTATGTCATAGATATTACTTCCGAGTCTGCGCTTTTGTGCTCTATGTGTGTCTCTTCCTTGACCTGTCCTTTGTACGCTGTTTTTCATCATGCCTCAGTACCAACTGGTCCCACCCACCACATTGCTTCTACTTATTAAGTGGTTTTCATATTGCCCAGCAAGTTTTTAATTGCGACTATATGATTATTTTCACAAATTAAAACTTCAATGAAAGTTCGTGCTCTAATATTTTTCTTATCGTGAGAATAAACTCTATCTTGCCTTCCCCTGGCAGTATAACTAATCTGCAGATATTGCTTTAGTGTAACTTTCACGGATTTTGTTAGAAGAAATCTGTGCAGCGTAACAAAATCCATTTTTATAATAAAATGGAAACTTAGAGACGAGGACAGCGCTAGTATGGGGTGCTTTCCCGTTATAAATTCAAGTGAAGGGTTATTTTCATTGCTAGATAACTTGGAATTGCAGCTTTTGTGTATTTACCATTAACACAATAAGCCCTGCCGAGTAAAATGTGCTTTACGCCCGTGTGGCCTACTGAAGTCGCGTGCGAATATTCGGGTTTGGAACTCGAATCTAACACTTCTTGGTCGAATAATTCGATTCCATCTTAAAATTGCTAGTAACAAGAAAGTTTGAGCACGACACATAAAATGCTTCATAGAAATAAAAAGAAGCTTATTCAGGAACTGGGTATTTCAGGTAAGAGTGTCTGAAATTCCTAAAATTAGCGTATTAGAGGTAAAAAGGATAATTTTCTCGGGACAGCATTACTCGGAGCGACGGACGTCAGAAAATGCGCGATACTTATAAATTAGTTCGTTAATTAGCTATAAATGCCTAATCAACTTTTAATTAGTGAAAAATTGACATATGGTTCCCATTAGAAACTTTTTGAGCTTTATCGAAAGCCACTCAATCAGTGATTATCAGAAACAATCTGAGCGTGTGAGGAGCGTAGTAGTGCGCTAAATTTATTACTCGTGGAGCAGGTACAAGGTTAGGGACTCTCATAAGAGGCGGAAACATTGTGCGGGCGCCTTACCGGGACCGCTAGCCTTGTTCCTGCTCCACGACAAGTAACTTTTTTGCACTACAGCGCTTCTCACGCGCTCGAAGTCTCTGAAAAAGAGTGGTCTAGAGGTTTTTGATGACGCTAAAGAAGTTTCTAATTAGAACCATAAATATATTTTCACAAATTAAAAACTTAATTAGTCATATTAGTTAATTAGTGAACAAATTAGTAAGTATCACACGTTTTCTGACGTCTTTCACCATGCGTAATGCGGTCCCGAGAAAATTATCTTTCTACCTCGGAAACATGCACTCATTTTAGAAATTTTCCCTCTTACGAGAACAACCCTGCTTATTTTTGCAGGCCACTGCTGGTTAGTAATCAAGTCTGGAAAGACAGGTCTTGACTAACTATTAATGTTTAAGCAAAGAGGTGTTTTTCTTATATTGCTCAAACGGACTATTCGTGCTCGATATTATTCGAACCACTCGACAACTCCCTCCAAATCACCCCGTCGCCATTTTGAATCCAAGTATATTACGCTACCCATCGCAAACTTAGCGCGACACACATTTTTTGTTTCAATAACGTTTTAAAATTATTATATTGAAGAAGATTTAATGATAAAAGAGAGCTTCAGATCTGACTGTAATTGAGAACGACCCGAGGGCCAGATGCCGTGTGTTCGACCTTTTCCAGGAATCCTCGCAACCAAGGGTCCCTCATATTCTTCCTGACAACTTGATATGTAGTCATTAAGACTGCAGAACGGCACCATCCTAGAGACGTGAGTAATGTCGATGAACTTGTAACAACAATCTTGTGGGAAGGAAAGTGGTGAGACTACGTAATTTGGGCGGGTTGAGGAAGGTTGCGGGGAACGATATGTGGCCCCATGTACTTTTGAAGACGTTTGTCTCACCGTCGCCGCTGGCGTGAGGGGGGTGGTCAGGAGAAATTTGTTTCTCCATTATCGTAAGGGAAGGAAAAGATCATAACTTTCGTCATGGCGAACGTAATGTTATTGCGGTTACCGGGCGTGCAGCCGGGAAAGGCGATGAACGTACTCCGCTTGGTACACGGCGTAGGTTGTGTATCCAGTCATTGGCTGGTCGTCAACAAAGGGCAAGGTTGTTTCTATATGAGTAAGAAGCTCACGAGAGTAGAGGAGGTGATAGGGTGAGAATCCTGTGGTGGCTTGACATGCAACGTTGTAGGCGTTGGTTACAGTGCAGCAATGACATCTCGGTTGATGTGATGGTGACCAACAAGCGTTAACATGATTTGTGCTAATCTTAGATTGCGGCGTTTTTTTAGTCCATTGAATTGTGACTGGTACTCACTACTAGCCTTGTGAATTGACCTCTTCCTCAATTAAGGCGATCATAGCGGCGCAATGCCATGCAAACCATCTTGGGTACTTGTTGGCCACTAAATTTCGAATTGTATTCGTTATCCTCAATTTACGACATCACGTTGAGGCTAAATACAGCTCTTGCTCGGTAGGCAACATCTACACTACTTATAGTAGTGTAGATGTTGCCTACCGATCCTGATGGAATGACTGGTATATCAGTGTGCGCAAGTAAAAACAGGACAATAATGACATATGGAAAAAGAAGCATACAAGGCCGGTCATCCTGCTTCATTGGCACCTTAATGCCCCAGGGTTCTTAAATTACCCTTCAGCCCGGAATGTCATGCTGCACTCTAAAGTGATAGCCGGCCGCCAGAGAGGTATGAGACCCTTCAGACGTATTGCCACTCCTCTCTAAGCCCAGTCAGGTCCACACGGCAGATGTCGGTCCGTGTTTCAACTGGGGTTTTCACGAAGTTGAGAGGGTATAATGCAACTCAAGGGCTGACTTCATTTTCATGCAGTGCTCAAAGGAACAACATCGTAAACGGGTGATCTAAACCGAAACTATGCCACTCCTCTTGATGGCCGACCAAGTAGCATAACGCAACGCACCAGTGTGGCCTACAGAATTTTTTAAATTTATTGAATGATTGATTGGTTGATTGATTGATTGGGTGTTTATGGCGCATAAGCATTAAGTGCTATGTTGCGCCAAGCTTAGACTATTGCAGTACGGGGTTACGAAGAGGAATGAGCTATGGAAGCGGAATATATGATAGAGTTATGGACATGAATGAGTATAACTGTAAATATATTACCATGTGTTTAAGATAGAAAGTAAAATCACAATCGGTGTAGAAGGCCAATATCTGTGAGGAAGTTAACACACAGACGCGTGGGATGAGCGGTTTATCACCTAGTAGCCAGGCAAGGTGTAGTAGAACGTGAGAACGGGTTCTTTATAAAGCTTATGAGATGCGTTTGTAACGGCATTGATCATTTATAGGACATTCGATGAGCATGTGCATGATACTAAGAGGTGAGTTACAGTGTCAACACTGAGGGG